ATAAATGACAAAATTATTATTTAATATAATTCATACTAAATATTATTAATTTATTAACGTAAAAAATTTATTATTAATTACTAATATTAAAAAAAAAAAAAAAAAAATTAATAAAAATAAAGTATAACTTCTTACGCGCGTACAATAAGTACACGCACCCTTTTTTTATTTTGAAAATATTGTTTTCACGGCGTACGCCAATAAGGCCACGAGTCAGTTTTTTTTCCTGACATCTTCAACAATCATCGTATTTCAGCCAATTTATACCAAAACAAAATTAATTATAAAATTATCTCATGAATTAACCCATCAATTGTTGAAAAGCGTACGAAAACCCGCTGGGTAGTTTTTGAGTTTGTCGCCTATCAGTCGCGGTGGGAGACTTCTTTTTCTAATAAGTAATTGATAATGAAATCAAGCAAGTTCAATGGAAAATGTGCCCAAGGGTAACGTCAGATACACAGAACAGATCAGACCTCCCCGGTAACCGTACTCGTCGAGCTCGGCAAAGAGTTCGACGTGCAACCTAACCTAAGCATCGACCCGCTGAGTTTTTGCCGGATCTTCTCAGCGGGTTGCGATTCCGATCCGGTAGTAGATTCATTCGCGAAACAGCTACTCTTGAATTGTTAGGTCTCCTTTGGAGGCGCTCGGGTAGCTGTTAGCAAATCCCACACCTCCTGGCTGAGCCCTTGCTCGCCCGCCTGCCCTGGTAAAACTGGAAAGGGCCACCAGTAATCTCTCAAAAATACAGAAGAAAAAAAAAACAGACCTACACCACACTTGACCTTGAATAAATCAATAGTATTCACGATGCCAAGCTTGCTTTTGTCATTTGAACGTTTTGTGATTTTTGTTATTACATAGCAACAAGAAAATTTGATGTAAAAATCGCAAATTTATTTAGGTTTTTGTAATTTGTTGAGTTATAGATGTGTACTGATAACAAATAAAGCCAATATGTTTAGTGTTTTTCTTTTCTTAGATGAGGGCACGAGCTGGCTACGATAGCTGGACTATCTGGTGTTAAGTGGTTTCTGCAGCCCACAGATATCTGCAACATAAATGCCAGTTTGTAGGCAGCGGCTTGGCTCTGCCCCTGGCATTGCTGAAGTCCATGGGCGACGGTAACCACTCACCATCAGGTGGGCCGTATGCTCGTCTGCCTACAAGGGCAATAAAAAAAAACCACGGCTGCCCCACCCTTCAAACCGAAACGCATTACTGCTTCACCGCAGAAATAGGCGGGGCGGTGGTACCTACCCGTGCGGACTCACAAAACGTCCTCCCACCATTGCTATATCGTCTTCTCGCATTAAAACTGTATAATCTCAAAACTTACTAATTTTACAGGAGAGTGTTTTAAAGGTTTAATAACATGTAATATCTTTAATATTAATCATCTTGCAACATTTATTTTTTATTTTGTACCAGTTACATTATCTGTCTTTTAAAGTAAGATAAAATTATGTATTAATTTTCTTAATAGTAGTCAAAACATAGGTAAACAAAAAAAAAAACTGAAACTAAAACTAAACTATGCTCTTTTGACAGTATTTATGGGAAAAATACTGGTGATAACAAATGTTTCCACATATTAACTCAATTTCGAATATTTTTGGAAATTGTACACTTTTTAATGCGAAAAGGCGATATGGTATATGAATCGAAATTTACATTTTTAATAGAGGTCCAAATGAAATGCAGTTTCGCTCACGGTCAACTTTAACCATTTCCAGGAAATCGGCACATTGGTACAATGCCAATACTATCTAAAAGAATTTTACATTCACATTTCATGTACGTCAAAAATGACCAAAATCTACAAGGAAAATAAATAATATATTCCCGTGCTCATTTTTAAACGACTAAAAAAATGAAAGCTGAGTTCGTTTTAGTATTATAAAAATACTAGCGACCCGCCCTCGCTTCGCTTCGGAAACTGTAATTTATTATTGACTTCTCAACTATTTAATGGATGTTATTATACATGTGAACCTTCCTCTTCAAGCACTCTATCCATTAAAAAAAACCGCATCAAAATCCGTTGCGTAGTTTTAAAGATTTAAGCATACATAGGGACAGACAGATATAGGGACAGAGAAAGCGACTTTGTTTTATACTATGTAGTGATAGCCCAACAAAGGAAAAACAATCGGCCGAATTACCCTACTAATATTATAAATGTGAATGTTTGTAAGAATGTATGGATGTATCTTTGTTATTNATCCATTAAAAAAAACCGCATCAAAATCCGTTGCGTAGTTTTAAAGATTTAAGCATACATAGGGACAGACAGATATAGGGACAGAGAAAGCGACTTTGTTTTATACTATGTAGTGATAGCCCAACAAAGGAAAAACAATCGGCCGAATTACCCTACTAATATTATAAATGTGAATGTTTGTAAGAATGTATGGATGTATATTTGTTATTCTTTCACGCAAAAACTATTGGATGGATTTTGATGAACCTTTACAATCATATAGCTTACACATTAGTATTGATTATAAAGATTGTTTATAAAGATATTCTACCTAGGATTTTAGAGTTTTTCGGTCACGTTGCGAGGAAAAAGGGTGACAATAACGAAATAATTCTCATCACCGGCAAAGTGGAAGGAAAGAGACCTACGGGGCGTAGTCCCATGCGCTGGTCCGATCAGATTAAGACGACTTTGGACTAAGGCATCAATGTCGCTATCCACTGCGCGGAGGATTCCTAGGAGAGAATGGAGGAACATAGTCCTAACAAAAGTGCTCGGTAAAGGTCACGACCCTCAGCACTGAGGAATACGACGCACGGAGGAGGGATAAAGATATTGTGTGACATACCCAAAAAATAACGATAAGTTTCAAGTGGGAAATAGTTTGCCATTTACGAGCTATTCTGGCGTGCGTTGCAAAGACCGTTGGAGTTACACGTATACAGGTAATGTGAAATGGAAATGTTTATCTTAAATAGTCCTACAAAAAAGTCAGCGACAGCATATCTCGACATCTATCTTTTATGTGTAAGCCATTATCGCCAAAATAGTGAACCATAAATACAATAAAAATTTATAATTTATTTATAACGCACATAATTTGATAATAATAAACCAAGTCCGCGATATTAAGAAATATTAAGAAAGAAAATTCAATAAGATCAATAATAAATGACAATACCCAAAGCGAAGCAAGGGCGGGTCGGTAGTTATGTATATTTGTGTACAGGAAACACAAGTACGAAGCAAGAAAAAAAAACACATTTCATAGTTATCATTTATAATCGAACATAGATTTTATGATCGAGTAGTCAAAACTAGCCTTGATAATTTTTTTATTGTAGCCAAGATCGACGGCTTCAAGAAAAGCTAAAGGTCAAATAAGACGAAATAACATAACTAGCTATTCAAAGCGAAGTCACAAGACGATCTTTAGAAATTATGACCATGTTCAAGACTTACGAGAGCTTTGAGAGACTTGTAGTTATGACCGAAAAACTACTTTAGGAATGCTATGTATCGGTACCAAGAATAAAACCTGTGCGTTGTTTCAGAATAGCCCACCGTATCTCTAAGGGATTCACCGGAGAATTGGCCGCAAAGTTGCCCGATCACTACACTAGCATACCGCAGTCGCATATATTACAAAGTACTAGGGTATCTTGGAAGCGGGCATGGGTAGTACCACCTGCCCTCTCTGGAGCGAAGCAAGAATGCGTTCCGGTTTCAAGAGTGGGATAGATGTTTAACAGTGTATTCGAATCTTTGTTCGACAAAATGCTTTATATTATAAAGGACTAGCGGCCCGGTCCGTCTCCGCTCGAGTCTTTAACAAAAAATTCAACGATGTTTGACGTTGCTTTAGTTTTTAAAATAAAATAACACTTATTGAGGCATAACTATACTAGATATACATATGCTGTCGCGACACTTTTTGTAAATAATAATGTGTTCTACAAAGTCTTAGTACACTATTTTATTCTATCATCAATAGTTTTCGCAGGGCACGCGATGTAAAGAATATTTTAGGTAATTTTTTTACACCTTCGGTTACATTATTGGAGTTCTAGTACGGAACTCTAATTAAAAAAAAAAAAATATTGTAGCCCATGTCACTCGGGAATAGTGTAGCTACCAAACAGTGAAAGAATTTTTCAAATCTGTTCTATAGTTTCGGAGCCTATTCAATACAAACAAACAAATCTTTCCTCTTTATAATATTAAGTATAGAAGTATAGACTTTTTTTTTTCTTATCTAAATCTAAGTTTTATTTAACAAACTACAAAAACACTCGATTTTTCATTATTTATCGTATTAATTTAATGTTCAATTTAATCATGTGTAAGATATTAATTTATTTTACATATATTTCATTTTCGTGTTTAGTCTATACACATACTTGAACGATTTAAACGTTGCAATGAATTCATTCAAAAATATTAATTCATAACATTACGTAATCATAGACAAAATTTTGTTTTCGATAGTGGAATTGCCATTTTTAACTCAACAGAATGTTTATTTGGATTTTATATAAATCTTTTTGACATTTCAGTTGATGGCATTCAATATTGTCGTAATTTTTCCTTTCTTTTCTTTGTTATCTTTCATATTAATAGGGTAATTGATTAATTTACAAATATAAAGGAAGTATTAAAGGTTGGCCGAGTTCATTCACACGAATCACTAACATTTAAAAAATATATTATAATTGGATATTAATTGCTTTGTCGATATTCTAACTCTTCGTGTCGGATTGTTTTTTTTAATACTGTGTTATATAGTTTTTATTTGCATTTATTTTATTATTTGAAATCGTATGTCCGGCGCCTGATTTGATTTCTCATAGATCAAGTAATCTAATCATAGTTTTAAATTTAAAACAACAATGTTTGAGCCTAGGATTGTCTTTTGTCGTAAAGTGTATGCGAAGATGGGTGATTTGAATGAATTTTTTTTTTTGTTTGGCATATGAGTGTGATGAGAAAAAAATAAAATAAAAACAAAATTTACTTTTCAAAGCCCATAACTCCAGTCGGTCCAAACTGTCCATATACAGCTGGCTGTCTCTCCTGCACTGTTCACTAGTACCGTTCCTAGGCACAACAACCTTCGGGAATCTCTCCCACAACTGCACAATATTAAACCGGGAACTCTCAACGACCGTATCATTCTCGTGTTGGAACTTTAATATGGTACTATTTAGAATTGTTTCTGTTATGATTCTTTTGTCGCTGATGGTTAGTTCGATGCAGTCCCGCGACAGTACCGCGCTGGTGAACAGTGTGAGTATCAAACCGCATGCGCGCGACGCCATCGTGCTAAGCGTAATGAGCCGAGTGTGGCATCTCGCGGACTTAAACTACACCAACGGTCTTGAATACTGCACCCCGATGACCCTTCGACACTGAAACGCACAATGCGATTGGGAAAATATGTGTTTTTTTTTCTAATTTGATTTATAATTGCGCCAACAATGAGGTGCTAGTGCGCAATAGTTCGGACTCGATTTAGACCCGGGGACGCGGGGGTAGTTCGAATTTCAAATCTGACAGTTGTTTGCACAGACTCGATTGATCTTTTTATTGTTTTTTTTTTGTTTGAACACTTTTTAAAATTACCATACCTAAAAAGTTTTATTTATCGGTGACCTTAATCCAATATTTAGCTTTGGAAATTTTTAATTTTTCTATCGCTCACTGCAATTTAATCTCAGACGACCAAAACGGAAATAAAAATATACCTATAGATTCGTGTTTTCGTAATTTTCTGTGTTTAAATACGAATGGTACTTTCAAAAAATAGTTCGATTTATACTTTAGGAATTCAGAAGCTACGAGCAGTTTGGAATGAAAGTAAAACCGAATGTGATACAATAATTTCACACCTGCGCGACCGAGACCTGAAATTGAAGAGGTCATACTAAGCAAACGCGTTCCTTGTACATGGATGTTGGAATAGTGTGAAGGAATGTCTTCAATAAAAATGAATTACGCCCAACCATCCTGTTTCGCTTAGAAATAAATACAGCCTGTATGTATTTCTATGCCTACATATAAAAGTTTGGGAAAAAGTCTTTTCGCATTATAGTATTTATGAACTTGTAATAAAATCTTTTTGGCTATACTATTTGTCTCTGGCTGGTTTTGGTATCATTAAAAGTTTAAATTTTAAAGAAGACAATTCCAAATTCCAATTAGGAAAATGTGTGATTTTTATTTTTTTTTCGTACTGTCTCAAGATGAGTGAATTTATTGAAGAAATTCGATACATTTAAAAATTTTACTACAAAAAAGGTAAAAATGCAACGAAAGCTGCGAAAAAAATTTGCGATGCTTATGGATCTAATGCAGTGTCTGTGAGAGTAGCATAAATTTGGTTTAAGCGTTTTCAATCCGGAAATTTTGATGTCAAAGATGCACGTCGCTCTGGTTGCGCTATTACGGATAAAATGGATGCTATTTTTTAAAAAGTGGAGCAAGATCAGCATATCAGCAGTTACGACGTAGCTGAAGAACTGGGAATTGACCACAAAACAGCTTTGGCGCATTTGTATGTATCTGTGTAGCGAAGTAATTTTGCGTTGAGGATTGAGCATTGAGACGTTATACAATTGAGACGTCAACAGCGGGCCTGAAGGTGGGTGACGACATTGAAGTTCTTAGGTCTCCAGTAATCACTCGACATCGGGTAGACCGAGAACTCGTTCATCCATAAATGCAAGACGAAAAATCTGGTTAAGTCAGTACTAATTTTACCACAACCCATTCTGCTTATGGTATATGGACAGAATTTATGAATTCATTAATCTTTCGTTAAATTCTATATAATAGAGCTAGAGAGCAAGAAGAAAATGTCCTTTTCTCATGTTCGTATTATTACAAGGGCGGCACTGAAAATTTCGGGAATTAAAGAAGTGACACAACATTACTATTTAAAAATGTATTTATTGCTTTTCGAAGTATTCTCCGCGAAATTTGACACATTTTTCCATACGATGGAACCAATCATTGAAGCAACCATTCCATTCGGAAGTTGGGGTCTCCAAAATGGCCGTTTTGTAGGCGTCCACAGCTTCTTCAAGTGATGAAAATCTCTGTCCACGCAATTTATTCTTTATTTTAGGGAAAGTATAGAAATCATTAGGGCTTAGGTCGGGGCTGTACGGCGGATGGTCTAATAATTCTATGTTTTCTTGCTCTAAAAACTCTTTTGTTCTGTGCGCGGTGTGAGAACTCGCATTGTCGTGATGGAGGATGATGCGGCGGTTGCAGTTCTCTTTACGGAGTTCAGAAACGACCTGTGGCAAANCTTATATAAACTGTGATCTTATTGAAAAAACAACGATAATATTACTTTTTTTAAAAGTTCTTTAAGCTGTTTTAAAACGCACTTTTCAACCACTATTTTCAATTTAATTTGACGAATTTTTGGGACCAACTTAACTCATATTTAGTACTTCCATAGTTAACTTGGTTTTTCTTCTATACATTGATAAATATTAACATAAACAAAATTAGGTAGATTCCGTGCTACAAGTACTTTGAGAATCTTCCGCAGGTTTGTCCCAATTTACCCCAGGATCCCAATTTACCCCATGTCATGGTATTTTTCGTACTGTCAAGATGAGTGAATCTAATGAAGAAATTCGATACATTAAAAAATTTTACTACAAAAAAGGTAAAAATGCAACGAAAGCTGCGAAAAAAAATTGCGATGCTTATGGATCTAATGCAGTGTCTGTGAGAGTAGCACAAATTTGGTTTAAGCGTTTTCAATTCGGAAATTTTGATGTCAAAGATGAACGTCGTTCTGGTCGCCCTATTACGGATAAAATGGATGCTATTTTTGAAAAAGTGGAGCAAGATCAGCATATCAGCAGTTACGACGTAGCTGAAGAACTGGGAATTGACCACAAAACAGATTTGGCGCATTTATATGTATCTGTGTAGCGAAGCAATTATGCGTTGCGGATTGAGCATTGAGACGTTATACAATTGAGACGCCAACCACGGGCCTGAAGGTGGGTGACGACGACATTAAAGTTCTTAGGACTCCAGTAATCACTCGACATCGGGTAGACCGAGAATTCGTTCATCCATAAATGCAAGACGAAAAATCTGGTTAAGTCAGTGCTAATTTTACCACAACCCATTCTGCGTATGGTATATGGACAGAATTTATGAATTCATTAATTAAAAATTCGTTAAATTCTATATAATAGAGCTAAAGAGCAAGAAGAAAATGTCCTTTTCTCATGTTCGTATTATTATCATTCGTTCGCTCATTAATCGTATCAAGGAATCTTTGTTGAATTCAGAAAAATAAAATAAAATAAATGCACTTATAGTAATTAACCTTTAACATTTTGTCGATAACTTTTTTTACGTTTATCTCAGTTTTATTTCGTTCATTAGAATTCTGTTATTTGAAAACTCATCCATATTGATTTACAAAAATAGAATTTTAAACAGTGCACCAATAAGTTCATGGGTATTTTAAAGCCGAGTGTATTATTGGCATATAATCTCAGTTCGATAGCTCGAAAACGAATGACAATGTCAATAGCAACAATTATCAGTTCACATTTTGATCACGCCAAATTGTGCTTTACGCAGCGATAGAACTATGCATATTTTACGCCGGTAAGAGTAACGCCATCTATCGCCGAATAGTCGGAATAATATTGAAGGATCTAGTGGACGCTCGAGAAGTACAACGCCATCTATTGTCAGATAGCGGAAACACAATACTCGAAATGTGTGGAATATTCTCCATAATTCTAGGTATGTGGTATCGGCTATAAAAGCGTTGCAGAGATGGCACGCAGTCTGTTATTAATCAGAACTACTCGAAGCGAAACAGCGAACGGATTACCTGAAGCGAAGCGGAAGAAGCAAATTGAGAATTTTAAAGTGTTTGTTGAGTGTTTTAAGTGTTCTAAGTGTTGAATACAGTTTTTAGTTGTACTTTGGTGGAGCATTTATTTATCCCGCGCCCCAGCGCGCAACAATATTCTCGCCAATTCTGAACTGTTTTTTTAGTCATAGTAACTTATAATATATACCGGTTTGAAATCTATATAATCTATCTATATATATATAAAAATGAATTGCTGTTCGCTAGTCTCACTAAAACTCGAGAACGACTGGACCGATTTGGCTAATTTTGGTCTCGAATTATCCCAACCAGACAAATTTGCTTTCGTAGTTTTGTTAGCATATCCGATTTATAATATCAGTATGGATTATATTCGAGATTTAGGAAAGCCGGTTATTTATAGAATTATAGGTTATTTACAGCTATTTAATAAAGGCAAACGTCAACATGAAAAAAGTATTTTTGTTTTTCCTTTGAATTATTATCCGGTTTATTTATTTATTTAGTTGCACCAACAAAGTGATCATCGATACAAAACATTGACAAATTGACAATAAGTATATGACAAATGTCACTTTAATTATACGTGCAATCGACAGTGCAATAGTTGACAAAATCTTGAACTTGGAAAAGAAAAAATACAGTGAGTAATTTTAAGAAATTTGAAATCTAGAATAATTATTTTTCAGGAGGTATGATAAAACGGCTATAGATTATTATTTACCAAACGATACGATACTATTTCTGCCGTGAAACATTCTCGAATTTCAGGCTGGAGTACTACCTCGTGTACTTTATCACGCGAGGTGGCATCACTCACATCTACGGGCTCGGATAATCGATTCCGTAACTCGCTATCTATAAATAACTGTCTAGCCATCTAGTGTTACAAAAAAAAGACAGCAGTGGCGCCGGGTTGAGGCAGCCTCCGGACACCACACCGCCTCATCAATTAAGCCACATCATCTATACTAATATTATAAAGAGGAAAGATTTGTTTGTTTGTTTGTATTCAATAGGCTCCGAAACTACTGAACCGATTTGAAAAATTGTGAAAGTGAAATAGGCTATAATCTTTTTTGAAAAAAATTAGGGATCCTTACTAAAACTCCAATAATGTAAAAAAATTACCTAAAATATTCTTTACATCGCGTGCCCTGCGAAAACTATTCATGATAGAATAACATAATGTACTACGACTTTGTAGAACACATTAATATTTACAAAAAGTCGCGCGACAGCATATGTCTAACTATTTAGTTATGTCGCAATAAGTTTTCTTTTATTTAAAAAAATAATACTTCAAAAATATCTTTGAAAATTTTGTTAAATACCCGAGCGGAGCCGGAGCGGGCCGCTAGTAATATATATATGTATATATCATGTCGATGTATTGCGACCTGCTTACGCATTCTCCCTCCATCTCAACCCCGCTTAATTTTATTCCTGTCCAGTGTGGCAGGGGGATCATCCCCGGGTAGAGGGG